CGAGACGATGGCCGCGTCGTCAGCGTAGAGCATGGCCCAGAGGGCCTCCGCGTCCGCCACCACCGTCGTCTTCTTCCCCGCCGACCTGCCCTTCTTGCCCGTGTACTCCACTTGTGTCCCGATCTTGACCATGTCCGCCGTCACCTTGGGGTCCTTGTCGAACTCGGCCACGGCGACCATGAGCATCGCGGCAAAGAACAAGTTGAACAGCAGCGGGGCCAGGTTGCATCCCTGTCGGAGGCCTTGGCCCACGTCGAACCATTCCGAGTACTGCCCGTCGTCCGTTCGGACGCGCGCCCTCATGCCCTCGTGGAAGTGGCGAATGACCGCCAGCATCTTCGGGGGCACGCCGAAGCGTCGGAGCACGTCCCACAGTAGGTCTCGATCCACCGAATCGTATGCCTTGGTGAGGTCGACGAAGCACGCGAACACCGCAGTACTCTTCTTCCTCGCGAGCTCATGGAGCCGCTGGATGGCGAACAGCATGTCGAGCGTCGACCGGTGTGGGCGGAAACCGCTCTGCTCCTCCGGGAGGATGCCCTCTCGCTCGCAGTAGTGGCTCAGTCGTGTAGCGACGACCTTAAGCAGCACCTTGCCGGCGTGTGCGACGAGCGAGATGCCCCGGTAGTTGCCGCACTCCATCGTGTCCCCCTTCTTGAACAGCACTTTGATGGTGGCATCCTTCCACTGCTGTGGTACGTCCCCAGTCTGCCACACATTCACGATAGTGGCGTGGAACTCGCGGAGGAGCCCTTGATCTCCGTCCAGGAAAAGCTTCATCAGCTCAGCCGGTAGGTCGTCCGGCCCGACGGCCTTTCTGTTGGCCATTTCCCTTACCGCTTCCTCAACCTCAAGTAGAGATGGGATGTCGTCGAGTGGCACGCACGTGGGCCACCGCTTGACCTTGTCAGCCGCATGCAGGTCGATGGTCGGCGACTTGGTGTTGAGAAGCTTGTGGAACCACCGTGCCCACCGTTGGCGAATAAACGTGGGGTCCCGAAGGACCTTGCCGTCCTCGTCCTTGATGTTCTGAGAGGTGAACGACCTCTTACCTTCGACGTCGATCATCTTCAGGTGCCTGTAGAAACCCGCCTGATCCCCCTCGCGGCTCTTCTTCTCGAGCTGCCGTACACAGCCCTCGAAGAACGTTTCCAGTGCTCTCCACCTCGCGATGCTGCGCTTCTTCCGCGCCGCCTTGAGCATCGCCTTCAGGGTCGCCTCGAAGGCGCTGCTCTTTGAGGCCCCACGCAGTTGCTGCTGGGCCGCCTTAATCTGTTTAGACGCTTCGGAGGTCTCGTGCTGCGCTTGCTCGTGTACCAGCCTCTCTGCCCTCGTGCGCACCTCGCCAGCGGCGCG